TTTTTTTTGGGGGGGGGAGGAGGTGTGTGGGGGGGAACTTTAGAGCATATGACCAGATCATTCCTTCTTCTTAACATCTGATCTGTGTTGCCGGCTTTTATACCTTAGTTTGGTCTACCGTGTTTTTTCTGTCCGGATTTTGAAGAACATAATCTTTCTCACTGCCATGCTCAGCAAGAGGTGCAGTTTCCAGGACATTGAATGCATCATTGTATCTGACCCACAGTCTTATCTCTTTGGAGAACTGAACTATCCTTGTATCTAATTATATGGAGCCTAAATTGAGACTCTTCTCCTGACTGTTGTTGCTCTGTTGAATGGGCTCCCAGCTTGAAGTTCATCATGAATTTCTCCATCCAGTAGCAAAGTTCTTTGAGAGAGTTTTCTGTGTGAAACTAGTGACTTTTCTGTGCAGAGGTATATTGGGATTTCAGAGTGGAACAAATGGGATTTTTTTTTTTTTTTTTTTTTTTGTTCCATGTTAACATGGCACCTAAAGAGTTCACTAGCAAGTGGCAATTTTAGTTTCTCATTCTTTGAGACTAAGCTGACTTCTATCAGCCCAAATCTGAAAAATTCAGAGTGACTGCAAACCCTGTTTTACTCCTAAATCCTAATCTGAGCACTTGTGACCTGCAGAATAACAACCTCTGTCTCTTGCAAAGGTCTGTGCTTGTCTTCCTCTTCAGTCTGCTGGAAATAGGCTAGAAGAGAAATAAAGAGATGATACAAGTTTTAGAGAAGGTTTTGAAACATGGAAGTTTGTGTAATCAACCTAATAAGTAATATTTAGCAATTTCCAGAAGTATTAATGGTGTTTTACTGGCCTCTGCAAAACAAAAATTCCTTGAACCATTGTCACCCAAACAATATGAAGTATAAATACATAAAGTAAAATCCTATATAGTAAGTTGCTAAGGCTTTATGTCATTTAAGAAATTTGGTGGAACAGGAGAGACGTGCACATGTGCTTTACCAACACAAAGCAGAGAGGAGATTTCAGTAGGACCCCGGAGCAGCTGAACATCTTACACCCTAGAATTGTTTTTTCTGTAAAAATTTGAAAGCAGAGAGCTGAAAGTGCTTCTGTTAGATGCAAAGTCAAATACTCTGACTAAATGCAAGTGAAAATTTGCCACTAAACAGACTTTTGAAGACTAAAACAGTAGAATAGCTTTCAGTTTTGCAATTAGCACTAGCTTTAAAGCTGAAAAGACAATGCTTGCTATTGGCCAGTGATGTGCATTTCCTTGTTCTTGCCTTGATATCAGAACTTCAAATTTAACTTCCAGCCTTTTTAACTATGGAGTGTAATGTTGAACTTGAAGGTTCTAAAACAGCACCATCATAATTAATTTTTGTTGGGGATGGGGGTTTATTTCCAGGTCTCGGCGTGGTTTTTCACAACGTTCACCGTCTCAGGGCTAAAGGACAAAATCCACTATGTGGAAAGCCTTCAGCAGTTATTCACAGCCATACCCCCAGAGCAGATTGATTTGCCTCCCTTTGTCCTCGAGTATGATGCGAGGGTAAGTTATTTCCTGTGGCAGTCTGTGCTGTCAAGTGTAGTTATTGTGTCTCTCCCATTCTAACCTGCAAGAACTTGAAAGGGGCTTGGCTTCTGTATCTTAAGAAAGGGGAAAGGAAGAGGAAGCTTTCTGGAGAACATAACTGTTCTTCTGTGAGTAACAACTTTCTTAGATGTTTTCTTATTTAAAAAAAAAAAAAATCTTCAGTCCATGTAAAGGCTTTGACCAAGAAGCAGGCTCCTGTCCCAATAAAACATCTCCTTTGAGCATAGGAATAAATGACCTTATTCTTCAGCAAGAAACTGTCATAACATGCTGAGGGCCAGCAGGCAAGATACAACTAATGTTAGCTGATGAGACTAGTTTGGGAGCATAGATGAAGATACAGTATATATCTTGCACTACAATGCATGTTGTTCAGATCAGATAGAGGGGCTCTGGTTCCACACCTCTGTAGTTTAAAATAAGGTTCAGCAGATCTGAAGGTGAAGCATCTCTTTGATCGCGATTGAATGGTAAAAAATAGCTGGATTCTCAGCTGTTGAGCTGAAGCAGCTTTATCTATGCCAGCTTTAAAGAACAAATGCCAAATTAGCCCATTGCCCTGTAGCATCTCTCAGCTTTCAGTTGTGAATGCTGGTACTTCCGTGATTGTTCTGGCTGTGAGGAAACCACAGCAACTTGAGCCACAGTACCACCCTCCCAGGAGATTGCTATCTGCCTTTCTTCTTCCCCTGTCGACAAGTACAAAGGAAGGAGGGAAAGAGGGGAAAGAAAAATGGGACTGTTGACAAGTGCCTTACTTCTGTGTTCGTCCTTCTTCTTTCTGCCCAAATGGTGGGAGAAATATGGTTTGGATTGTTAAATCAGTCCAAAAAGGAGATGCCCTGGCTGCAGAGCAAGAGCCAGAGCCGTGGCATGTCTGCATGAGTGACCTGGTGTTGAACAAAGTGGTCACACAAGCACCTTTGGCTTCTGTGCATCATAGCTTTGGCTTAATAGCAAAATTTCAACCTGCACCCTCTATCTAAAATGGAAATGAAACCAAGGCCCTGACAGGTTACCAGAATCAGTCCTCTCTTGGTTGAATTTTGCTTGTCGTTACTGATGGAAAAAGTGAGAAATATTTATTTATGCCTATGTATGATTCATCCATTGCATCAAGATGTGTTGGAGAAGACAAAAAAATGATCAACTGATGATTTTCTTTTTTTTTTTTTTCCTTTGTTTTCAGGAAAATGGGCCTTACTATTCCTCTTATCCCCCATCTCCTGACTTGTGATCTGCAGCCCTGCAATACTGCTGGTTTCCCATGGATCCATGATCTGATGCCTGCTGATATCATGTGCATTTGCTCATGTACAGAATTCAGAGAGAGGGTTTTCCTTCCCTAGCTCTGATATTTTTTTACTGAGATATTTTCAAGCACTCAAGCAATCAGAGAACTTTATGCCACTGTGAACTGTACAACTATTTCAAATATATTTATCTAATGAAAAGTTTGATTTCATGATCACTAGGTGCATTTTATTTTCTTCTTTTTTTGAAGCTATTATGTTTTATTCCTGAATAGACTTACTCTTTTCTGGGAAATCCATCAAAAACATTTGATCATGTTTTTATGTAGTATTATGATTTTCCAGCTCCATTTGCAATACCCATTTTTGACTGGTCTGTATAAATGTTGTACAGCTCCAGCCTGACATGTTGCTTATCATACCGTCTCTATGCTTCCTATCTGATTATTTCCCTTTCTGTTAGTGCTGATTTCTCTGGTCTTGACCCATCAGAAGTATCTGACATTGGGAATACCACTTCTGCAGGCTGAACAAAGTACTACAGCCAAGAAAAGATTACTGCAACACTTCAAGTGCTAGGTGAGCTAGGAGCCTGATAACAGTCCCTGTCAGTTTTCCTTGGATGATGTGACATGTCAGGATTTCACTACCTGTGGAATAAGAATAAAGAATAAGAATAAAATTTGAAAAACATTTGCAGCTGCTTTTCTCTGACTGTATTCATTTAGATTCTCCTTTTAAATGGCAAGAGGTGTATGTATAAGAAATGAATGCCCCTGCCTGATGGCTGTACTGAGGAATCTGAAGAGATGACCCTAACCAGTAGTGCTAGGATTTTCTTAGAGATACTGGAGTCCATTTTTTTTTCCTCCTGTTAATACTCATACCACTTTTGACAGACACAATCTATATGACAGAGCTCAGCGGTAGTGGTACTTGAAGAATCAGAGGTTAAAAGTCCTCTAGCATTCCCCTGCCTGCCTATGAAAAATTAAGAGAAAGGGGGAAGTGTTGTGTTAAATAAGGAATTTTGCATTCTCAAATACAGAATGGTGAAATCCCTAATAGAAATAATGCCACAACAATACCAAGTTAAGAAAATATTACACTCTTCATGTTTTAATTACAGCTACTTTCCTGCCACAAATTGTATCTCCTGCTCCCTCAGTAGATCCTTGTTCTGTCCATTTTGCAGCAGCTAGGTTTTTGAATGTAAGCAAGAGTTGCCATGGAATAACCTGAGAATGTGATTGTGTCCATTGAGCTGACAGTAGACAGCCACTCATTTTCTCTAAATTGTTGGGATAAAATAGAAAATTCTTTCTTGGTCTCAGTCGTCTGATTGTTTACTTTATATGTGCAACATGAGAGTTCTTTTGCTCCCATAAACTATGACCACAGTGAAAGATGGGCCATACCAAGTATCCTCTCTTTCCTACCTTGACCTCCTTTTGGCTTAATATTGCGTTCATACCCCAAATGTCCTTAGCATGCTCTTATGTCCGTTACAGTTGAAGATAATCACTAGACTGGGGTTCAAGTATCTTGCGTATACAACTTGCAAGTGGTATTGCTTTTAAAATGTTTACTGGGTTGTTTTTGTGGTTCCAAGGTGCTGCTAAAAGCCTGAAACTGTAGTATGATATAAAACAACCTTGGTGTTAATACTTAGGAGCATTGACCTTTCTGATCTGTTCCTATGTGCTTCTTTCAACACTTATCTGTTATTTTCCCTTGAGAAAAGGAAATAACAGCAGTCTATACAGGGCAACTACCATGTGTCCTCTTTGCTGCCCTTGGCTAGTGACCTTTTTATATCCAGCAGTGAATTTTCCATGCTTCTCTAATGATTTGTATAGCTTTCCACCCACATTAACCATCTGCTGTTTTTCACATCTGTGCCATTTTCTGCTGGGCTCTTGCAAAAGAGCTAGTGTCCACCTAACAGGCAGATTTAAGGTGATTCAGAGCATACTGTGAAAACAGAGCAGTCTTTCAGCTTCATCAGCTTATAGATGATTTCTGTTCCCTTACTTCACAGATGGCTCAGAATCATAAAAACAGAACAGTTTTGCTTAAGACTCTGTCTGCACGTTTTTTAGTCTTAGTCCAGTCATTTTAAGAAATGACTTGGCTCAGTGAAGTGTGAATCTGCCCCTACAGCATTTGCAGAGAAAGAGAGGAAAAAAAGAGATCTTGGCAGTGAGCATGTGTATTTTTCTCTTGAAAGACTTAGCTTAAAAAGAAAATAGAAAAATCCAAATTCTGCAAATCTCAGTGGCAAAACAGACTTGCCTGGTGCTGCAAAGCTCCTGCAATTATTTATAGGAATCTTTTAGAAATAGTATGCCAGTGGTAGGGGAAAATAGGTAAAATGCTCAAGGTGCTCATTGCTATTAAAAAGTTTCATTGTATAAATCTAAAACATTTTTTTTTTTGCGTTGAAACCAGCTTAATTGTGTTTTTTTAGATGAAGATAAACATTGGCATGCGATAGCTAAGGGTGGATACAAGCTTTTATTGTAAAGAGGCCAGGGAGGCAGTTTATGCATACCGTAAGTCTATGAAAGTTTTAACAGCCCCATCCCTCTGGAGTCACTAAGAAGTTAAAAGTTCTGATATCACCATATGCAGGCTCAGAAGGGGAGGCTCTTGAGGGAAGTGTTAACACTTAGCAGGGTTCTGCGAGTGTAGTTATTGCCGCTTTGACACCCTGTGTGATGTTGATGTGGGAGTAGCATAGTCATTGTCAGTCAGTGGTATATGCAGTGCTTTGGCCTTGTTATTCAATACATCTCTCCTGGAAGTGCCCTGTATCCCCTTATTGACGGCTGGATTTGTCAGCTCTCTAGCCTAGCCGAGCTAGGCTGTTTAGGCAATGTTTGATGGCGAACAGATGATTCTGTCTGTGTGCCTTGGCTTACCTGTTGTTACTTGCTTAAGGCAGGTTTGGATGCCCAGTCTGTGAAAGATAAAATGTCTAAACAGCAGGTGTGGATTTTTGGGACACTCTTGGTAATAGAAGGTGTCAGAAAGTGCAGGCAAAGTGAAAATATCAGCTTTGTACAGGTGCTTGAACTCGTATGAATCTGCCACATACACATGAAACTGAGTTCTTTTTCCTATCTTCTCTTGCTGTCCAGATCCTAGAATAAAAAACGTCTTTTTTTCTGTCTTCTGTTTTTCTCCAACAATAGCCTAAAGCCTTGGTGGTTATTCATGCCTCCTGCCTCATCTTTGTGCTGAATTGCACTCTCTCCCTAATCTTACCACAAGTACCTATATAGCTGTAGTGCTGCAAAGGATTATCATCCAGCTGCTGATACCAGCCCCTTCATGTTAAATTAATTTGAGTTGCTCTGCTGTTCAAGAAGCTGATATCAACCTCTCTCCTCTGTTGAACTAAAAAAAAAAAAAAAAAAAACATATATGTTGTCCCTTCTCCTTGGCCTCTCTGGGATGAATTCTTTGCACTACAGTGTATATTACAGAAATTCCAGCCTGTGTTGATTCTTGCTAAATTGGACCTGAGCAGAGTGTCAACAAGGAGAGTCTTGGGAGAGAAAGGGAAGGAGCAGAACTGTGACTGGGTTGAGGGTGTAGGATGAGAAAAAGCCTACTTGGAACAACTCAAGTTACAATCTTCCACTGCCAAGGAATATACCCATACCTAGCGTATACTCCTATATACGTCTTCAATTTTCTGCAGTTGTCCATGGAGCAGGACTTAATCTTCATTAGAGGGACAAATTATCAAGCAAGTGAGCCAGCAAAGTGCAGCCTCTTCACAAGCATGAGATCAGGATGTGGATGAGCCAAAGCAGCACAATGCTACGCTAAAACAGAGAGAGGCAGGAGAAAATGCTGTGCAAAGACACCTCCTTTCAAAGTTGAATAAGAAAGATGTCTTATGCTCCAATAGTGGGATGCAGGTCTCTCTTCACTTGTGGGCTTAAAACTAAAATGAAGTTAGTAGGTGGTGAGAAGGGAGCTCTGTCTTTAGCTGCAGAGATGATGGAGGTCTTACTTCTGGGAGAAAGGTATAAGTGTGGTGCAGGACAGAGATTAAAATGCTGTAACTCCAGGCCCTTTTGCAGCATGGAGTCTGACTCCTGTGAATACCAGGTGGTGTTCAGTAAGGGATATTCAAATACTTAACTATAAAATCCTTCTAAAATACTTTAAATGACAAAACCACTCATAACATGTATAACTGAAAAAATGCCAAGATTCCTAATGCAGTTTAGACATAGTTATGGGGGAGGTGGCTTTACTTGGAAGGACATTATGTACAAAATGAGGGGAAGGGGATTGTATCAGATGATCTGCAGCAGTCCAGCTGCCAGCACGGCATCTGTTTTTAATGGTCTAATCAGGTCCTGTTTGAAGCCTTTCTCAGCTGTGCTTCCCTTGAAAACCTAATTCCTCGGTCAGCTGAGGCAGAGCTGTTTGTGATTACAGTGTGGTTTGAACAAGAGAAACAAAAATCAAAATGGTTTGCATACTCAACACTTTCACCAAAATGTTACAAGAAGCTTTTATCTCTGGTGAGGATGTTGAAGCCAGTAGAGTTTCTTCTTCTTTCCTCCTCACTATTACATTTTCCCATTTTTGAGGAGGAGTAGAGGAAGAGGATGGTTATTACTGTACCATGAAAAGAAGATTGACCCCCTGAGATATCAAGCAGCACACCAGTATTCTCTAAAATTGTGAAGGGCATAATCTCCAGCCTTTAGGAAGGCCCTGTAAGTCCCTGAGAACCACCACAAATAGCAAACACTCCAAGCAAGGCTCAGCAAGATTGGTCAGCTCTTCAAAAAACTGTGAGAATCCTTTTTAATTTAATCAAGGAGAATTACTGATTTGATCACCATGCTTTTATTAAAGCCTAGGAGTAACATACTGTGTGGCCTTTCACAGCACTACCCACTCTGCTGTGCACATCATTGCACTAGACATCCCATATCATGCATTTTTTCTTTGTAAGAATGTGTGTGCCAGGTACCCTCACAAAGCGGGCTGCTGGGCATGACTGGGGGTTTTGGTTGGGAGGGTATTGGTGCCTAAAAAATAAACCTAGCACAAAGATACAACATCTCTGGTTCATTAGTGTCAGTGACCTGCTGGTTCACCAAAGGCCTGGAGAGGAAGTTTAAATACGGTGCTGCAGTGCTGCTTTAGCAACAGGGTGCTTCATAGGCGCACTCTGGTTTCCATCATGGCTCTGGAAGCAGTAGCAAACTCGCCAAATAACAAAAAAACAGTAGGTGTATTAGCATACAACTCTCCTGAACTTGCTTTGGGTACCTGTCCCAAACTATCAGATGTGCTGAGGTTCATCTGGTTTAGCTTGCCAAAAGTTTCTAGAAAGAGCCACTAGAAAGAAACTGTATTTCTCTTTCTCACCAAATGTTTGAACAGTAAGGAACTTTCCTCTTAAAAGATTTAAAAAGTTAATAGCAGGAGTTGAGTCATGTAACTACGTGGACCCATTTAGACACTGCTTGTCATTTGGCAGGAAGGGACATACTTACATCATCTGAACACATTTGCTTATTCACAAGTAAAATGGTATCATCTGCTAGAGACAGGCATGCCAAAGATGTCTTTGAATATCTAAGACTAACACCATAAAAACACTGTCACAGGAGCATGGAAGATGGAACGTAACCCCTTGACTAAATTAGCAAAGA